TATACGTTTGTCACAACTCTTCAAATTGAACACTTAAAATGGGTTTACCTCAACTATTGTTTAATAAATATTTATATTTAATAAAGATGAAGATGATGTTTAATTCAAGAAAAATAGAGTGACAAGGAAATTGAGACCTGGATTGAGAAATGGGACATAAGTCTATAAGGCAGAGTTTTGAGAAAATTATTTAGGGAACAACTTTGAATAAATACATCTTAAATCTTAGTTGAAATGAGCAATGTTTCAGAAAACTATAATTTAATAAACTGAATCAAGTTCTTAACCAGTTTTACCATGCTAGCATAACCCAGATATGCCTATCAAAGACAGTGAGTTTGAAACAAACTACCCTGACCTCTGACACCAACTGCAAGTTCAGAGCTCCTGAGGTCACACTTGGGTTTGGTAATTCACTGGAGGAACTCACTGGAAGCTCTTATGTTCCTGGTTGTAGTTTTTTATAGGTTAAAGGATACATATGAAAATTAACCTAAGAAAGAGATTCAGAGGGCAGAGTTTAAGAAAGGACCAAACTCAGAGCTTCCAGTTGTCCTCTGTGGAGTCATGAGCGGTGTTACTTTCCCAGGAGTGATGTGTGACAACACATAGAGAGTATTAGCAACCAGAGAAACTCACCCACGCCTTGGTGTCCACAGTTTTTGTTGAGACTCAATCATGTGAGTCTGAATGGTGGCCCATGTGACCAATCTCAGTCTCCTTACCCTAAATCCCATTGTTACTATCTGGGTCTACCCATTTTTAAATTCAAGCAAAAAAAAAAAAAAAAGGGTGAAGTAAATTCATACCATGATTGAGAAACTACAGATAAAGCAAGAGTTTTTAGACAATAGCCATATTCATTTGAGTTACAATGACTTTATCATGTAATTTGATATTTGGTAAGGCAAGTTTTGCCTCATTGTTCTTTCATGTATCTTTCATAACTACTCTCAGACATTTAGGGTCCTTAACAAATTTGAATTCTGTATTAGTTAAGTTGCATTCAGTTACAAGTGCACATTGTTTATGCTCCATGAGTTAAGTTTAATTGCTGTATAAAAATCTTCTCAAACATTACATGATGATTTGGCACTGAAGTGAAAAAGTTATTGTGAATGCAGAAATGCATATAAGCAGCAGTGGAACATAAATTTGGTATTAGTAAAGGAAATCTGTCATCAGAGAAATGACTTCATTTTTCTATTTTCTTGCAAAGCAATGATCAAGAGCTTTCTAAAACTACAAAAGAAAGCCCAACCCCCCCACCCAAATAAAATCTATCGTGTTTTGCAAAAGGATACATGCAAAAGGATTGTAATGCAATGGAAAATTTACTCAAACTCTTGAAATAGATAAAATAAATTCCAAAGCAATGAGAGGTGGTGCCATCAATTCATGTGTTTTGAAAGACTATCATTAAGATGTCAAAAATCTATTTATCAAAACTTCTTGCCAACTTTGAGCAGAAGACAATAGTGGAGCACTGTTTAAGAAATGTTCCATCACCAGTGTTCCTAACAACCAAAGGATCCTATTGTGTGACAAATGTAAACATCAGTGACTCTGAGTCCAAAAATGATAGAGAAGAGTTAGACTTTGCCTGTGAGACTTAGGAAAACCTTAACACATTTATTTCACTTCTACATGATGCATGAGATGGAAACTAACCCAGGTTAGACCAAGCAGAGAGAGGCAGTAGCTAGCTAGCCACAGTGATTGGCCAGTCAGAATGAGGCTCTGGGCTTGGTTCACCCCTGGGTCTAAATGCCCCCTCCCCATACTGGGTTAATGAGAGCCACCCTATGACCACAGGAGGAACCAGCCCAAACATGAAACCAAGACATGAATAACAAAGCAGAGAAGCTAAAGAACGTGGAACATTGGTGTCTATTATGGATAATCTCAAGGCAGTTTGAGTTGGGTTTTCTTGTTTCTTGCAAATCAAAGTTGTCCAGCCAAAGGAAGCCTCAATAAATGTCAAAGAATAGAGCAAATGATGATGAGAGGGCACACTAGAGGCAGTCTTATTTCCCCAACCTGGGAATGGAATGATCCCACCATCCAGCCCCCAGTTAGTCATTGATTCACCTGGTAAGCCATTGGTTATGTCTATTGAAGACTCCATGTCCTCATGGAAAGCTTTGCTGTGAGGCACACTGTGGAAGTAGGGCATCTTTATATACTTTTCAAAAACTAGAAAGAGTGGGAATCAGGGATATTGGCAAGTAAAAAGATATTTGCAGCTGACATGTGCACATTGTTGTGGTTCATACATTTCTCGATCTTGCTAAGACTTTCATGTATCCACAAAATGAGAATTTAGGCCTGATGAAGTCAAGCACCCATTTTTTGCTTTATTTTCACTTTAATGCTAGCTGCTTCCCAAACTGTTCTCACAGAGCCCAGACAGACTGCAGGACCAATCAGCTTTAAAAATTGTGTTACACTGCTGGCATGGATCGCTGCTGAGTGAGCAGACGAAGCTAGCTGAATCTAGAAGTAGTTGCGATGCTGTAAGAATCACAAGTCTTTACCCACATCTCCCTCCTGCTAGCAACGTTTTCTGCCTTCCCTATGGGGTTCGTGAAGGACAAAACACTCTCCTAGTCCCCGTCAGGAGGACAATATACCAAAGTTACAGAAGTTGTCACAAAGCTAGTCAACCTTGATGTCTACTCCCTTAAATTCAAAATCTAGGCTATTTTATGGTCTTTGCAAAGCTGGAATTACTTTTTTCTTTAAAACTTGGCAGATTGGTGTTTTTGTTTTTAATCCTTGAGCTTTGTAAATTTTCTTTCCTGTGCCTACTTGCCCATAACTTATTCTTCTGGTCTGATGACTGTTTTTTAATGAGTTCAGTCTGTGCCTTCTTGGACAAATCAGGAGTGTGTTAATTAGCTATCAGATCTAGCCTGGCTTTTGAAGTTCAGAGCTTTGGAATGTTACAGAAGTGTAAATACAATCATGGCTTTTTGCATTTCTTAATTATATCTCAGCTGAAACCTCAGGGAGATTCCCACCTCAGGATTCTGCTACTTCTAACTCCTGAATAGTTCTCTCATTAATGGCTGGTCTCTGGGGACCCAGACCCAAAGGAAATGGCTTCCTGTTTTGTTCCAAGTGGCCCATCTTCCTTGCAACCTTCCTACTGTTGATGATCCTATTGCAGGGTGGAGAAAATGGGTCTTTATCCCCTCCCCCTCAAGGGGTGAGGAGGAATGAGGTAGGAGTGAGAACGTGCATCTTGGGGTAAATTGTCTCGTGACTCTACCTACCCTGTACCAAATTATACCAAATATTTCTGGGCTTTCTAATATATATATATATATATTTAAATATTTTATTTATTTATTCATGAGAGACACACACACACACAGAGAGAGAAGCAGAGACACAGGCAGAGGGAGAAGCAGGCTCCGTGCAGGGAGCCCAATGTGGGACTCAATCCTGGGACTCCAGGATCATGCCCTGAGCGGAAGGCAGGCGCTAAACTGCTGAGCCTCCCAGGGATTCCCCATTTCTGGGCTTTCGAATTAAATACCTACCTACTCCTGCAAGAAGGCTGCATGATCCCCTAAAGTGATCCTTCTCACTCCCAATCTAGAAACACTCTCTTTTTCGTAACACTTCCCAAGTATGTCCTGGTGCTGCTGGTCCTGGGCCAGACTCTGGGGTGCCATAGATGAGCAAAAGAACTCACAGTCTGGGTAAAGGAAAGAACTCTTGAGTTGACCCTTTAGGTCTGTAAGTTTACAAAGAACCTGGAGATTGAGTTGAAGCCAAGATAAATCAGGGAAGCCTTTGAACTTTGCACACCAGTCAGTGGTGCGTTAGGTGAATGAGGGGAAGACCCTGCAGGCAGATGGGGCTTGTCGGCCCTGCTTTGCTACTCCATTCAACACTGTGACTTTTGACCCCACTGTCCCAGTGATATTTTAAATGTTGTGAGTCAGTTCTTCCTGTCTCTGAAAAGGTGTTCTCCCAATTGCCTACTTTCATGAAACACTGTGGACACGTACAAGAATGAGTGAATGGAGAGAGGAGTACGGGCCAAACCAGACCATGTTACTCAGACTCCCAGGGGTCCGCTAACATCCCAGGAGCCCGTGATGCAGGCCACCGCGCGCTCCAGGCCACCGCGCGCTCCAGGCCACCGCGCGCTCCAGGCCACCGCGCCCTATCTTCTGCCCAATGGCCAGGATGGGGGTGTGTGTGTGAAAGAGAAGGTGCGATGGAGTTACGGTCTAGCAATTCTGAATTCGTCCCTAAAGCTTGAAGGGACCCTCATCGGAATGCATCGGTCGGAAAGATTCCTCAAGCGTCCTTAAAAAACCTGCTCAAAAAAATCCCCGAGCTGAAAAGGTGTCTTGGGCCCAGGGCTCCAGGGCAGGTGCTTTCAGATCCAAGGAAGGCAGCGACGGCAATGCCCCTACGGAAGGGGTCAGGGGCCTAAGGTCACCGCTCACGGAGGACTGAACGATCGACGAGGGACCGCGCGAGCGGCGGGTTGTCAGGAGGGGAAAAGCGAGCTCCGCACCCGCCGCACCGGCCACGGCGCCGCAGCAGCAGGAGGGCGGCGGGGCCGAGGCTCCGCCCACAGGGGGCGGGGCCTGGGTGGCGTGGAGGCGGGGCTCCTACCAGGCGCGGGGCCGGTCACGTGGGAGAGGCGCGGCGCCGCAGCTGCAGGACGGCGGCGGGGCCTAGGCTCCGCCCACAGGGGGCGGGGCCTGGGTGGCGTGGAGGCCGGGCTCCTACCAGGCGCGGGGCTGGTCACGTGGGAGAGGCGCCCGGGGGCGCAGGCGCGGGGGCCGGACCCCGGGGGCGGGGCGGGCTTGGCGCGGGAGCCTGCGGGCGCCGGGGCCCCGGAGGCGGGGGGGGGAGCAGGGCGAGGTGCACGCGCGCACGTGACGTCCGCAGCGCAGGTGAGGAAACCGAGGCCGGGCCGGGTGCGCGCTCCTCGGAGCCGCGGGGCGCGGCCGCACCTGCGAGGCCCCGGCGGCCCCCAGCGCCCCCAGCGCCCCCAGCGCCCCCAGCGCCCGGGTCAGCGGGGGACCCGCGCCGCAGCCCCGCCCCCCCCCGCCGCCGCCTCCCGTCCCCGGGCCCCGAGTGAGCGGGCTCTAGCCCCGGGGGAGCGGGCGGGCCAGCCGCAGGTGAGCCCCCGAGGTCGCGACCGGCTTCCATGGGGTCGGGGTTTATGGGGCCGCGGTTCCTTCGGAATCTCAGGCACCTGCTCCCTCCTCTTTTTTTTTCTTCTAATATTTCATTTAAATCCCATTTGCCAACAGGTCCTATAACACCCGGTGCTCATCGCATCACGTGCCCTCCTCGGTGCCCGGCACCCAGGCACCCCCTCCCCCCGCCCGCCTCCCCTTCCGCGACCCTTTGTGTGTTTCCCGGAGTCAGGGGCCTCTCCTGGTTTGTCTCCCTCTCCGATGTCTCCCCACCCAGTTCCCCCCCTTCCCTTAGGGTCCCTTTTTCTCTTTCTTACATGCACCTGCTCCCTCCTTTTACAAGTGACACGCCCCTGCCAGGCTTGGAAAGAGTCCCAAGCGTGCACTTAAAATCCCTGTGCTGAAGTCTGGGAATGAAAAGATGGACGAGGCGCAGATCTGACCCTGTCCGGATTGTGGCAGGTGCAGGGAGGTGAAGGAGAGGAAGCCAAAAGGGTGAAGGCCCTGGGCTCCGGGGAGGGAGCGCACCCGGGGAGTCCGGAGCTGGCCTGGGTTCAGACCCAGCTGACTCTGGGCCTTTTTTCCTTCAAGACCGTGCTGTTTCCGCGGTTCAGTTACTTAGACTTCGATTTAGTTTTTGTTTTCTATTTCAGTGTGTTTTCCCTTGAACTTGGCAGATGATTAAAAAGAATCATCTAGGATTTATTTTAAAAGCATTGTCTAGGAACCTGCTTGGGTGCTCCTGCTCTTGCTTAGTCCTGGAGCCCAAGAATTGGGATTCGGAATGCACACCCAGTCATCAGAAAGCTACCATTTTGTTTACGGACTACCTTTTAGGGGCAATGCTTGACTAATCTAGAAGCGAGAATTATACCTTGTATTTGTGTCGCGCTTTAGTGAGGTAGCTTACAAAGCACCATCTATACGTTTTTGCAAAAGATTTGTTTTTAGAAGGGGGGAGGGAGAGGATGAAACCCAAGCCCTCTGCGAGGGGAGCCTGGTGTGCAGAGCTGGAACCCCACTTTAGGGCCCCAGCCCACAGCCCTAAGATCATCAGGGCTTGGGCTGAAATCAAGAGTCTGTTGCTTAACCAGCTGCACGACCCAGGCACCATCTGTACCTTTAATCTGATTCTTACAACTCGGTAGAAGGTCATTCGGGAATCGTTCACCATTGATTATTTTCCAGTAATCACAAAGATACGGGTACTCTTTATTTACTATTTCGGTGCATGAGTCTAGGTTCTGCAATGGTGCCTTGTCCAGGTTCTACGACCTGTAGGAATTTGATGTAGGTTTTTATTCCTGGTGTGACTTTTTCCCCATGTCCCCCTGTGCAAGGGCTTGCCATTGCGTTCGGATCTTAGACATTGTCCCCTAGGGGTACAGAAGACATTTCTTTCCTTTCTTTTTTCTTTTTAATTTTTTTACAAATTTATTTTTTATTGGTGTTCAGTTTGCTAACATGTAACACCCAGTGTTCATCCCATCTAGTGCCCCCCTCAGTGCCCGTCACCCAGTCACCCCCACCCCCCACCCACCTCCCCTTCCACCACCCCTAGTTTGTTTCCCAGAGTTAGGAAGTCTCTCATGTTCTGACAGAAGACATTTCTGATGATTGTCTTATCAGCTTGTGTCACTTATTTGGTTCTCAGAAAATTTGATTAGGAACTAGATTTCTGGGGCTCGAAACCCCAGGCTCTGTCAGTATCTCAGAATATTGCTCTCCTGCCAGCCAAATTCTTGCCTCTTTGTGAAATGTGGAGCTGAGAGACTCCCAAGCCTCCCTCTGCTGAGGCTTGTGTGGCAACAACTGTCCAGAGGCTGGGGGAACCACCCTCACCTCTGGGCTCAGTGGCTTCTGGCCCAGAAGGTTTCAGCTGGACAGTACCCTTGCCTTCCCTGGTGCTGTTAGTCCGGAAGGCAGTGTTGACAGGCACGGCAGGGAGGATGCTTCGTAGAGTGGACGGCTAGGCCAGAGGGGCCTGGGACCAGCCATGGTTCCCTCCAGGCCCAGAGGTACAGCCAGGAGGCAGGCCTGCAGTAAAACAGCCAGGGTGGCACAGCTGGAGAACTTGTTCAGTGTTTTGTGTTCTTCAAATGACCTGCCTGCGGAGAACTAGTGAATCTGAGCCCCTTAAAGAAGAGAAAGAGCATGCCTCAAATTCTGCGGTACTAAAAAAATCAAAGTATCCTGCACTACTTTATTGTGTTGTATGATGCTCTTGTAAATTCTTCTGGACAACCCCTTAAAGTTCCCTTGTTTTTAGGAAGGAGATACTGAAGGACAGGTGACCTCTCAAAGAGTGGAAACCCAGGAATTTCATCCCAAAGCCCAGGGTCTTTTGTGGTACCGCCCTTGCCCTCCCATCCACACCCATATTACTTGATAGAGCTGGTGTTCTGAGCCCAGTCAGGAGGCTGTGCAAGCAAGGGACAGAATGGCCACGTATTTTGGGGGCTCTGTAGGTTCAATCACTGATGAGAGGATTTTTGTCTTTGTCTCACGGTTTCTCAGTAGCCGATTATGTCCTCTTGTTCTGCTTTCAGCATCTGTTCAGAACTTCCTGGCTCCGGCATCTGAGAGGACAGCTGAGCCAGAGCTGGACAGACCATCACCCCACGGAGCAGAACAGGAAGTTGGAGACTGAGGCAAGTAGGAGAGAGCTCGTGGCTCCATATGGCTAGGTCCATGGTCCTTGATGACAAGGGTGGGTGGGAATGCATCCTCTACTGCTCCTGGGGCCCTGGGTCACCAGCCTGCTAAAGTGGCATATTTCAGCCTGTCCTTGTATCCTCCAGGAGTGACAGGACCTTGTTACTATCGGGAGAAGAGATGCAGAATGGCCTCTCAGCTCGAAGTGGGCAAAAACATGGGCTTTGCATTGTAAGCTGCTTGCAAAGCACTAGGCCTGTGAAAGACTGGTGTTCCCTCTAGCCATAGATTTCCCAGGCCCTGTTCAGGAGCAATTTTACTTTCAGCCTTCTTCAGGCCAGTGAGCAGAATTCAGGAACCGCCCCTCACCCCTGTCTTTTGAACTTCAGACCCCACAACACCTCACCCCGCCCTGCCCTGTTCCAGCTTCTGCAGGAGTGTCCAATGCAGGGTAAATAATCATGGATTGGGGGTTGGGAGACCCAGACCTGAGTCCAGCACAGTCATGTGACCTTGGACTAGCCAGCCCCTTCTCTGGGCCTTAGTTTCCTCATTTACTCAGTGACGGAGGGGCTGATCAGAGCTCTAAGGGAGAGGGGACAGGAGAGCAAAGAAGGAAGATGAAATGTCCCTCCAGCCTCTTTACTGAGGGCTGGAGGCAAGGAGGCCCATGTGCACTCTTAGGTTCCTTTGCCTTCCTCAGCACCCCTTTCTTCCTTTTGGCCTGTCTCAAGCCAGCTCATTCTGGGGAGGGAGGATTCCCTGGGTGGGGCTGGGCTGGGCAGGGCAGATATACCCTCTGTATATAGAATATGATGCTGTCTCTACTTGTTTCAGGCATGAATTATCCCACCCAGTGCTGATACTTTGTTTTATGAAGACTTTATCAGTTCCTGCCCAGAGGCAGCTCCTTGAACAGGCAGGAATTAGTCCTGGGGAAGCAGGGAGTGAGACTGTGCACACCCAGCAGGAGAGTGGTGGTGGCAGGTGCCCCCAAGGCTTTCTGGATATCAGAACCCTGGACTTGCAGCCGTGCGGTACTTTAGAGTCTTTGGATGTCAGAACCGGGACAACCTCATAGATTTGCTGCTAGTTCCTTCCTCTGTCGCTACAGAGTGTCTTCATAGCTTATGTCAGATTGCCTTGCCATTGAACAGCGGAGTGAGCACCCAACCTAAGATCACCTAAACCCCAGGCTTGAGTGTTTTATTTAAGGTCAAGCCAGCCCTGTGCAAAATTACTTCCTGCTACTGAGCTGAAATTGGGTGCCTCCAAGTCTGTTCCAACATGGAGTTTAAAAGATAATGTTCAGATAATTTCATTAGACCTCGAAGGGCTGCTGATTAGCAGGATCTGTGTTAAGTGCTGGGGGTGCACGAGTGAATAAGACAGCAGCCCCTGCCCTCAGATTGCTCTACCACACTGTGTACAAAATCCTGCCAGTAACTAAAACACGCGGAGTTCATTTGCTTGTGTGGTGTGCAGAGGTGTGTGTGTGTGTGTGTGTGTGTGTGTGTGTGTGTGTGTGTTTCCGTTTCCACATGCATGCTCTATCATCAGAGGCGCGGGAACCGCTGATAGTTGGGGCTTTCAGGAAGACACTTTGGAGAACAGAGTGTTGCTTGTGCGGGGCCTTTACATGGTTTGCATGGTGGGGAGGGGCATCCTGGGCGAAGGAAACAACACAGCAACAGTTGGGAGGCCTAACAAGACATGTCACAGTCTTTGCATCTCACGGAGTGGTCAGAACAGTGGCCGGCAGCTAAGCTATGAAGGGCCCCATTGGCCGCGCTGAGGAGTTCTGAGAGCCCAGAACAAGGCGAGGACTTGAGCAGGTCGAGGTGTTGTACCGTGAGTCTGGCTGCAGCCTGGAGAGCGAGCAGGAGACGCCCTGGCTTGGGCCAAGCCTCTTCTGTAGTTCTCCGAGTAGGCCGGCGCAGTGACAGGGGCCTGGGCCCGCCTGGCTCAGGGAGGCTGACGAGGGGCCCGGGGGTCGGGAGGCAAACATGTTTCACGGGATGGACTGAACTTCCTTACTGATGAGAGGTGGGCAGCGAGGGAGAAGGAGTGTGGTGTCTCTCAGCTTCTAGCTTGAGCAGTCAGCCAGATGCCTGGGTTGGCTGGGGAACTCTGGAAGAAACCCTGACTCTGGTGGAGGTCAGTTTTGGACATGGTGCAAAGGAGCTGACCTACAGAACCCCCAAGTGCAAACTCTGAGTCAGGAACAGCAGTCAGAACCTGGAAGTCAATACCAGGGCGTGGGAGTGGTGAGCTGGAGGTAGGTGAGGTCCTCGGGAAGGGGTGAGGGTGAGGGTGAGGGGAGCCACGTAGGCGTAGGCCGGGAAGCAAGAAGGGAAGGCAAAGGGAGGGGAAAGAACTGATAGCCTGGGTGGTGCCAGCTGACTCCGTGGTTGTGGGGCGATGAGTGGGGTGAGGAGCCGCGGCGAGAGGGACATGTCCCACTGCTCTCAGCGTGGCACGTGGGCCGCGTTAAGGCCTTCACTTGGTTCATCTGCGCCGGATAGGCTAGCAGGGAAGGTCTCTTGGCACTTGATAAATGTTACAGTCTGCATGACTGCAAATGACTCAAACTGTGTTCAGCTATTTGAAGGGCTGGGGGCCTTGGCAGCTGTCCATTTCGATGTTTTCTGGAGATTGAGTGTTCACAGCTGAAGGAGCCCCAGGGTTTCTGAGTGGCCAGGTCCTGCCCACGGTGGGAGAGAGAGAGCTTGAGGCCAGAGGCGGGACTCCAGAGCCCCGCCCCCAGCCCTCCCGGCAGCCTGCCTCCCGAGGCTCCTGCTGGGTCAGCCTCTTTGTCAGCAGAAGCCCAAGTGTGGACGCTGTGGATGGTGAGTGCCCTGCTCCCAGGGTTGAACTGCCCAGGTTGGGGATCAGGGACCATGGTGGGGAGTGGCTTGGGGAGCTCTGGGCTGCAGGGAAGAGAGAGTGTGGAAACTGGAATGGACTGGGAGAGTCCTGATGGGGACCCAAGAAGGGGGCGACTCCGAAGGAGCTCTTAGTGATAGACCCACATGATGGCACTGGGGGGGCTTTAAGGAGCCTTAGCATTCACTTGGTCCCACCCTGTCATTTTGGAGTGGAGGAAAATGAGGCTGGCAGAGGGGAGCACCCCAGCATAGCGTAGGGAGCCCAGCTGGGTCTTCTCCCTGCAACACCATGCTCTCCCCCCAGCCCCCAGAGCGGCCACTCTGAGCTGCCACCGTTGTTGTTTCTGCCTGTGGTCTTATCACGCTTCACCACCTTCTGTGGGAGAGGATGAGACCAGAGAAGCCCCACATTGGGAACTGAGGGCTGCAGCCGTGTCAGGTGGGGGGCTGGCTTCTGTAAACGACTTCGCTCTTGCCTCTCGGATAAATTGACCTTTTTCTGAACGGATGAGGATTGGGGGCGCGGACGGAGAAGGGACATCTGCCGTATGGTAAATTTCCTTTAACAGTTTGGCTGTATTTGATGACTGGGAAAACAAGTCAGTCTGTTTTAACGCTCTTTAAGACAGAGGGGATTATCCCCCTTTACCCCCCAGAAACCCACAAATGAATGCGTGGGGTGGCAAGGTACGGCAGTAGTAGAAGTGTGGCTGCAGAACCCTAGTGATCTGGGTCCAGGCCACAGTACTGCTGCTTGCTGGCCCTCTCTTTCTGGAGAAAGTTCTGAACTCTGAATTCTGTGCTGTCAGCTGCAAAACAGGGTAATACCTGCATCAAAGACTGTTGTGTGAATGAAATTAGGCCCTGAGTGTCAAGTGACACCAAATAGATGCTAGTTTACTGGCTTCCCTATCTCCCCCAGTAGCTTAGAGGCCCATGTGGACATGCTTTGTTCTGTTGAGGGAGTGAGGCCCCCTCCCCTCCCCTCCCCTCCCCTCCCCCTCCCCTCCCCTCCCCTCTCCTCCCTTCTCCTCTCTTTGTCGTGGGAAGAGCTGTGATCCAAGATCCTCGGTCAGTCTCGCTCTGCAGCGTTTGCAGCGGTCCATGCTCCAAGATGTGCCAGGATGGGAATCGCTACGTAGCTCAAGGAGGCTTGGCTGAGGGGCTGGACTTGCACATTCTCTAGGTGTTTGCAGGGGTCAGTTTTCACCGCTAACCCCAGCAGAAGAGCCAGCTGCTAGAGGCCCACGGGGAGTGCATGTTCACGGGGAGGCCTGACTCACCCCTGGAGCTATACCACTCTCCCCTCTTAGTGCTGCTGGGCCTGAGAGTGAAGTCCACGCTCCTGGGTCACAGCTCGAGGTGGGGTGGGGTGGGGTGGTAAGCCACACCCACATTTTGTATTCTGGCTCTTAAACTTGAGGTAAGGGCTTGGGGTGGGGGGCCCTTGGGACACGGAAGCTTGCAATCTCCTGGTGCCTTGAGCACTGATGTCCACCCCGAGCCAGCCTGGTGTTCCCCAGGCTTACTCAGCCCAGGCGAGGCCTAGGCCTTCCATTCAGCCCCTTAGTCCCACAGCAGCCCCAGAGCCACTTCCTTCTGGGTGCTTCCAGATCAGATGGAGCTGGCTCTCACCCCTACAGCTTTGTGTTCATACCCTGCCCAAGGTGGCTTCCCTTTCCACTTGAATTTCTATTCTCTGTGCGCTAGGCCAGTGTGTCCTTGAGGATTGGGTATCATTCCGTTGTACGTCCTCCCAGATTGCCATTTATTGAATAGGTCGGTGCTGAATCAGTGATGGGAAATAAATGTTGAGTCTCATTGAGTCCTGTTCCCTGAGTCATGAGCAGACAGGCTAACTGGCTGTTGGTGGGAAGATGGAGCCTGTTGGCCGGTAAGAGCAGCCGTGGTGTGTTGGGAGGACGTGGAGTGGAGGGCGAGGCTCTCTGGACTTCCTGCAATGCGCCAAGTGTTTCGGGAGGTGAGGCGAGCCCTTGTGTCGGGTAGGGTAGGCATAAGCTGATCTTTGTGTGCTGCCACAGAAACATGATCAGATCTGTGATCAGAGGCCGCGCTGTATGCTCCTGAATCATGCACACATGTAGGAGATCCAGGCGTGTTTGGGTTGCGAGTGAAGGTGTAGCAATTGTTCCAGGCTCTGGGGGATCTCCTGTTGACAGCACACGGGTGAGAGCCGTGAATGCCCCTAATTGTTCTGTGAATTCTAATCGAGTAATGTGTAACTTTGTTTCACAAAAGAACTGGAAGCCGGCCTTGGAAGGTTCTTTCCCATTTGGCCCAAGAACTTGGGCTCTCCATGAGTCATCGTCCTCATCATTCAGTTCCATTGAGTTCCAGGTGCCCACCGTGTCCCACGCTGGCAGGTGCGGGCCCGGCAGTTCCGAGATGAACCGAGGGAACCGAGGGGCAGAGTCCAGGGGAACTGAGTCAGAGCCCGTAGGTCCGTGTCTCGTGTGGGGCCCGTGGGCAGTGCCATGGCTGGCGGCGGCGAGGCGGGCAGAGTCCCAGGAAGCCTTCTGGCGGGACTGCCTGGGTCTGGGGGGTGGGACGGGCGAGGCGGTCCGTTTGGGGAGGAGGCAGGAGCTGTGTCCCCCTTGAGCCCCGCCGCCCCCCGCGGGGAGCTGGGAGAAGGGAGCCGGCCTGTACTCGGCTTCCCGCCACCCAAGTGAAAGTCCTGGATTCTGTGCTGAGACTGTGCTTCTCAGGCTTCGTGTGCCTGTGAACTGCCTGCCTGGTCCGATTGAAAGGCAGCCGATGATTCGCTCGTCTGAGGGCAGGCCTGAGATCTGCACCTCGATGCAATGCCCGTGCTGCCGGGCCGGCAGAAGCGAGGCTGCGAGAAACTTCCAGTCCGGTCCCTCTTGGCAGCACACACCAGCCTCCGCTTCTCCCCTTCCCTAGTGTGCAGATGCCAGATTCCTTTTTGTGGTGCTCTTTGCATGTGGTCCTTCCTCCTCCCCGCCCCCCTGCCTGGAAAACCCCTTTTATTTCTTAACTCAAATCCCAGTTTTTCACGCTGGCCCCACACAAGCCTGGCCTGCCCTCTCTTCCCAAAGTCCTCACCACCAGGTACTCCCAGCCCCACCTTATGGTGGCGGATCCCTCAAAGCCCATCCTCCGGCAGTGGCATGTGGATTTCTGGGCCTTTGCGTAATCCCCTGGAGAAATCTTCTCCCCAGCTGAGTGCTGTAGGGGACACATGTCTGGTTAGGTGTGCCACACACCTACACACCGGGTCTGTACCCAGTGATCTCCACACGCAGTCATGCTGGTACTTAGGGAGGAAGGCTCTGGTGTAAGACCCTAGGCTGGCTGAAGGGCCATGGGGACGGGTATTTTCAATAGTTGCCAGGAGAAGGAGGGCCAGGTGGGGTACCTGCTGCTGTCTGAGGGGTGTGCTGCTTCGAGGAGCTCCCGCTCAGAAGCACGAGGCTTCCCAACCAGAGGAAGCCTTGGGGAGGCCCCCAGGAATGAGCTGGAGCAAGGCTGGGCTCTGCGGGACCCGCCTGGAACCCCATTTGAGTTGCAGAGCCCCATGACCCACGCAGCCACCTCGTGCCAGATACCCAGCAGCATGCTTTCTCCTACGTAACGCCTGCTCTTGTCACTCTCCTGTGTTTGACAGCTGTGTAGTTCTGGCCATGGCGGGGGGCACATCAGATTAGACACTGGTGTTCAGTGGTGGCCACCGCTGTTCACCTGTGTCGTTCAATAGCTGGTAGACACTTGGGGTGGTTTACTTTCACACTGACTCTGGTTTTAGATATTGCTTTTTTTTCTTTTTTAAGATTTTATTTATTTATTCATGACAGACGAGAGAGAGAGAGAGAGAGAGAGAGAGAGAAGCAGAGACACAGGCAGAGGGAGAAGCAGGCTCCATGCAGGGAGCCTGACATGGGACTCGATCCTGGGACTCCAGGATCACGCCCTGGGCTGAAGGCAGCACTAAACCACTGGGTCACCAGGGTTGCCCGGTATTGCTTCTTTTTTGATCTTTGTTTTATTTTCAATATGAGCCTATTTTATTTGTGTAATGAATGAAATATAAAGCTATTCTCAGTTGTGAGGAAGTACTGAGATTGCCTGCCCCCCCCCCCCCCCCCCCAGTGAGGGCCTGCTGGGCACTGTCTGGGAGCTGGAGGAAGGGTATGGGAGGAGAGTTGTAATCGGAAAAGGAAGAAGGATAAGGTAACAAAACAGTGTGATGGGTGTTCTGAGTGTTTTTTGATCAAAGAAGAGAAAGCCGCCCGTCCCCAAGGGGGGTGATAGCAGAGACTCCCGGACTGTGAAGGAAAAGCAGCCACTGACAGGGAGGGGAAGGGAAGGAGGCTGCCTCCAGGGGGCCCGGCGTGGACACACCACAGAGCTGGAACTCCGGCCTCGGGCACAGGAGAACGGACGGCAGGCCGGGCGGCTCAGGGGGCTGTCGTTTCTCTGTTCTCACTTCAGATGCGTGTGCGAGCTCCTCGGGGCAGAGCATCTGCGTGTCTGTTATAACCCCAAGCTCTTGCAGTGGCAGGTGCTCAGAGGCCCTGGTTCGGTCCCATCTCTGACGCCCCTGCGCCCGTCCTCTGCCTCTGGGCTCCTGCTCGGCTGCCCGGCCAGAGACTTGCACGGAGACCAGACTCCAGCTCTTTCAACGTGGGAGCAGTAACATCATCTTCCTTCCTCTCAATCTCCAGAAATGTCTTTCCTCCAGGATCCGAGTTTCTTCAGCATGGGCATGTGGTCCATTGGCGCGGGGGCCTTGGGGGCGGCTGCCTTGGCCCTGCTCCTGGCCAACACAGACGTGTTTCTGTCTAAGTCCCAGAAGGCGACGCTGGAGTATCTGGAAGACATAGACCTGAAAACCCTGGAGAAGGGTAAGCGGTGATCCCACGGACCTCAGTACTTTTCCAAGGTGCCGGGATGCAGAGTTACTCATTGTTTTCCTTATAAAAGGCCCCTCTCTCTTTTTTAATTGAGAAGGCACTGTAACAACATTAGGAAAGATTTGATAACATCTTTTAAATTACTGATAAGCCCGTTACCCGGACACAGCACTCATTTTTATTTTTGCACATTCCTTTCCATGTGTACACAGTATGCAGTTGTGATCTTGTTGGACACGGTATCTTACATTTAGCTTTCTCTTATCAAAAGCATTTTTCACTGTCTGCTGTTGTTTCCTGGATCTTCATAAAAAGGGAGCTCTTGGGTCCATTACGTTTGAGAATCACTGTATGCAATTCCATGTTCCTGATGCTCAGCCACAGGCCCCTGCTTACCGAAGTGCAGTGTCTGTGTTGTTACCGGTACAGCCATGGGCAGCCCTCCTCACCTGTGCTGCCGCACACACATGGCGGGGTGGGGAGCAAAAGGTCACACTTTGAGAATGGACCTACCTGTCTCCCTCTTGGGGAGCCCACCTGGAGTCCCTGGTGGACACCTGAGAGCCACAGGTTTGCATCTGGTTCCTCTGCTGCCCCACTGTGTGCTCGTGGCATTGGTAGCTCAGGGATGCCAGTGGTGCGGATAGAGTTGGCATGAGTTTGGTGAAACTTGGGGCTCACTGACCCAAGGGGCCTCCAGGTTGGCCCCTCCAAGGGAGGCCATCATCACTTGTTCTGTAACTGAGGAAGCTTGTCAAGGACAGGCAGGGACTGTGACCACAGAGTGAGGGCTTAGGTCACCTTCTGGAGGACGAAGAAGCCCTGCGGAGGGACCCCCGTTTGGCTGTGTTCATCCCAGGGTTTCCTGGTCTCATCCCAGGGTTTCCCGATCTCATTTGATCACAGGACCCAGCCTGCTCCTTTTTTTTCCACGTAGCATCCCGCAGGAACACGGCTTCCTCTGAGAAATGCTAAGACAGTAAGAGTCCGTACTTGCTGAGCCTTCGCTAACTCTGTGTTAGCCGACACCGCGGGGGGCACTTCTCTACCCATCCCTTGATGCCCCCTGCAGTCACAGTGGAGCTGCCAGCTGTTTACACTTACAAATGAGGAAACTGAGGTTTGGGGAGGAGCTGGTGTGTCTCCGAGACCAGCCCGCCAGATGCAGGCCCTGTCTGACCACGGCCTGGCTTGAGGTGCAGAACCGTACTGCCCTGAGGCATTGCCATGTTGGGCATCCTCTATCCTCTCTGTAAATAGTGCAGTTAACATATTTAGATCAAAAATTGTTTTTGTAAGGAGACCCCTGGTGGGCTCAGTCGGTTAAGTGTTCGACTCTGGATCTCAGCTCAGGTCTTGATCTCAGGGTCATGACTTCAAGCCCTACTTTAAAAAAAAAAAAAAAAAAAAGAATCGATTTGGGGTCCCTGCTGACTGGATCAGTTGGTGGAGCATGTGACTCTTGATCTCAGGATTGTAAGTTCAAGCCCCATGTTGGATGTAGAGATTACTTAAAAATAAAATCTTAAAATTTTTTTTTCATAAAAATTTGTTAACTTATTCCCATTGAATACATGTATTTATTTATTTATTTATTTATTTATTTATTTATTTTGAATACTTTTTTTAAAAAGGGGTATAAAAAAATAAATAAAAGTTAAGGGTGTTTTTGATCAAAGTGCAGGATCTCTTTCAGGTTTTGGCCATGTATCTGCCTGAAAGCATCATTACAGTGTCCACTGATACCAGCAAAGGAATTTGCCATTTTTTCAGAAATGTTCCAGTTTGGGATTTTCAAGTTTGCCAATAGATTTCGATGGGGGAGGGCCCTTTTGGGTATACAGTAGGATCCTTACACTGTGTTCATTTTCCTCTGAAGGGTGACTAGTTCCTGTTCCTGTTTCCAAGTCCTCTGCTAGGCTGGTGCCATTTATGAGCTGCCTCATGGTTGAGGGGAGGCTGGGCCAGGAGGAGAGAGTATTAAGTTGCTTTTTCTCCCCAGAACCAAGGACTTTCAAAGCAAAGGAGCTCTGGGAAAAGAATGGAGCTGTGATTATGGCTGTGCGCAGGCCCGGCTGTTTCCTCTGTCGAGAGGTGAGTACATCAAAGATCCTTTCAGAGAAAACGATCCTAGCAAGTGGGGCCAACACGTTCCCAGCCGGGACCAAGGGCCTGTGGACCTATTCTGACCTTCGATCAGCACTGTTATTTGCTCTAGATTATTTCTTTTGATTTATACCCTGTTTGTATTCATTTAACAACTCGCCGCGTCCTGGGGTTAGCACACGTTCTTGACTCTGTTTGGCGCTCTCAGGCCCTCGCACTCTGACGGACTGTCTGTGTCCAGGGCCGGCTCCCCATTTAATCCGGGGTGGGGACCAGACCTGATTCCGTGTTCCTGATGCTCAGCACAGGCCCCTGCTTACTGAAACGCAGAGTCTGGATCGTTACCAGACAGCCGTCACCTGTTCAGTAAGTGAGGAAACTCATGAAGGGTCCAGCCTTGCCACTTTACAGTTGGATAACCTGAAGGCCAGGGTGGTTTGGTGACCTGCCCGGGTCACACAGTCAGTGGCAGACCTAGATTCCGCAATCTGCCCTGGCTGAGGGAGAACTGGGAATGAGATAGCATTGCTTCTCAAGTGGTGGCGTTGGCCCTGTCTACGTGGTCATCCGCCTCCCTTGGTTGTCCTTGCTGAGCCTGGGGGCATTCCTTTCAGCCTTTTGATCTCTCCCCTGCTTGTGTGGCTGGCTGACAGAGAGCATCCTCCCATTCAGGGCACTTGAGCGCCTGTGTCTCCCTCGCATATCCCTGGAAAATACGCCTTTTTTTTTTTTTTTACAGGGGAAGAAATGGAGGTACAGAGGTGCAGGGGCGGCATAAAACCACAGTGCCATGGGGCGGCATGTTGATTTCCAGTTAATTTCCAATTGCTGCTCTAACAAATGATCACAAACTTGATGGCTTTAAACAGATTTATTAGCTTATACTTCTAGGGGTCAGAATTTTGAAATTGGTCTTATTGGGCTAAAATCAAGGTGTCAGCAGGGCTGCATTCCTTCTGGAGGCTCCAGGAGATAAGTGATTTCCTTTCTTCTCCACTTATTGCGGGCACCTACGTTCCTTGGCTCACGGCCCCTTCCTCCGCTTTTACAGCCAGTGATGAGTCCAGTCTTTCTCACACTGCATCACCATGTCACTGACTCCGGCTTCCCTCTTGCACATTTAAGGACCTGTGGTTAAGGACCCAGATAATACAGGATCATCCCCTTTAAGATCAGTCGGTTAGCAACCATCTGCTGCCTTAGTTTCCCCTGGTGCTGTAACAAAACAGACTCACAGCTTCCCGGGGTTAGGGTGTGGGTAGCCTGAGACAGTATTATTCCACCTACCATGGCAAGGGAAGTCTAAAAGCTCAGGGCTCTTGGTTCAAAGTCTGTGAGGCCTTCAAATACCAACATGGAAGCCTGTTGTGACCAGATTTCCCCAGGCCGGTTAAACCCACGAGAGCCCAAGAGCAGCCGCCCTCCCTAATTACAACCTGTCGGCCTGTGCCCTGGTCTCTGCCTGGCAGGACGTTTTGTGAAAACTGTGTGGTGGAGGGCGGTCTGTGTTATTTTCGTGGCCCAGACCAGAGGCGTAGGACTGGGTTTCCACTCCATGGCTTTGTACAGTGACGCAGCGGAGTACAGAGCCCTGGACCAGGGAGTTAGTCCTTTCTTCCCACACACAGGTGGCCTTTGGCCACAGCAGACATCTAGTCCTCTCTGCCGTGGGGCAGAGCTTGCCAGTCACTGAGGCTCTTGATAAGTGCATCATAAGGGATCCTGCATCATAGAAAATAAACAAAATATTAAATGTAGCTGCTCCCATACAGCGACATACTTATATTGGAGGCAAGCGGGCTGCTATCTCATCCCGACCCCAGACGTGAAGAATCTGTTCTGAAAGGTGCAGCCTTGCCATGTCACGTGTAGTTTCCTTTCTCCGTCAGCGTGTAACTCATGAGTGCCAGCGATGTCTGGATTTCTCAATTCGCTGTGTTCTCCACACTGCCCACCTTCACCTTCACATCTGTCTGCCTGGTATGTAGCAGGTGACGCGTATCCAGCCATGTGCGAGGCACGGAGGGCGACAGGACTTGGAGGATGCAGTGTCTATGAGATAGACCCCCTTGGGAACTTAAGTGACTGTATTCAGTTTGGTGGTCACACACAGACTCCGTTCCGGGAAAGTCTCCACGCAGAAAGATTGGATAGGCGCAGAGAGATTTGGAGCTTTCCTCCAGGGTGGACGAGCCCAGGAGAACTTTCAGAACAGGGACCCCTTTCTGGAGGGTGGGATTTGAGCAGGAGAACAAGGAAGGTTGTTATGGGGTGGGGGATGGCGTGGGGAGCCGGCTGAGCGAAGGCCTGGAGGGAGCTACTGGCTCGGCCTCCCCGGCTGTGCTAGTTCTGGTTCAGTCTAAAGCAGGGGCAGGGTGTCGTGGCTACAAGTGCAGGACCATGATGGGGTGCAGTCTCTCCGTGACTGGATGTGCCCCAGGCCATGGTCAGGACACCCATCCTCAGAGCCTTGCCTCTGCGTTCCCCCGTGGAGAGAACAAGAGGCCTGGGCTGAGGAGGGGACCGGACACCCTGCACCTGAGGCCTGGTGCCGAGCCACACAGGCCTTCGCTGTGTCGGGCATCCTGTTGCTTTTGTTCTTTGGCGTCCAGTGCCAGGCTGCGCGGGGCCTGTAGGGAAGCGGGTGTTGGCTGGCGGCAGCAGCACAGGACTCCCAAGTTGCCTGTCTTCTGCAGGAGGCTGCGGACCTGTCTTCCCTGAAGCCCAAGTTGGACGAGCTGGGAGTCCCCCTGTACGCTGTGGTGAAGGAGCAGATCAGGACTGAAGTGCAGGACTTCCAGCCGTATTTCAAAGGGGAGATCTTCCTGGATGAAAAGGTGGGTGTGCTGTGAGCCTGTTGGCACAGACTGGCGGGCATCGTGCTCAGGGGCAGAGAGCTCGCTGGCCCAGGGTATGTCTGGCCTGCAGCTGACATACCCAGCCAGGGCTCCCCAGCCCCTGGGCCAAGCGTGCTGGGACACTTGGAAGGTGTCCTCTCAGTTGGTACTGGAGCCCTTCCTGAGCTGTCATCTGGGCCTGGGAGCCGAGGAGATTGCTGAGGCCCCACTGGGTTCTCAACCATTTGGGTGGGGACCAGCACGGGCCCCCGTCCCTTCTCCATGGGTGTATTTCTCTCCCCTCTCCTCCTGCGCAGGATGCCGGACTGCTATCAGCCTGTTGGGCCAAGAGCCCTGTGGTTCCCTAGCAAGGGGTTAGAGCTGGAGTTAGCTGCATATCCGTCCCTGAGCGCGGGCCTGCCCTGAGGTCAGAAGCTGCCCGCAAGCTTCTCATTACCCGGGCAGCGGAGAGTGCTCCTGAATGGGAGCTGTGTGTGGGCTAGGTTGGGGGAAGACACGAGGCAGCGGCTGTGGGTCTTTGAGAACGAATGCCCTCCCTGGGGGACCTGGCCTCTTTGGGGAGGCAGGCATACAGGCGGCTCAATGGGGCTCCGGTGTTTCTTGCTCCTACAGAAAAAGTTCTACGGTCCCCAAAGGCGGAAGATGATGTTTATGGGATTTGTCCGCCTGGGTGTGTGGTACAACTTCTTCCGGGCCCGGAACGGAGGCTTTTCTGGAAACCTGGAAGGGGAAGGCTTCATCCTCGGGGGAGTGTTTGTGGTGGGATCAGGAAAACAGGTAAGTTCCTCATGTTCACGTGTGGATCTGTGGGTGTCTGCGTCTGGGGGCACAAGACCCCGGTATGGGGGCGGGTGACCTTCCCTACTTGGAGGCTTACGGCCTTCTGTCCAGAAAGCCAGGAAACATGTGGAAGGGGAAGGGAGGGGAATTACCATTTATCACACACCTGCTCACAGGCCACCTCCCACTCATCAGTCACATCCCTAGATGGCCTGGGAGTTTTGCAGGCAGCACTTTTCCCTGCGGGGTACCTCTCCCCGAGAGGTAACAGACTTCTCTGCAGACAGGGTGCTCGGGGCCCTGGCTCTGAGGGCCCAGAGTCACACAGGGACCCTGTGGGCCCAGGAGGCAAGGCTCCATGTCAGAATGGGCAGCCTGGAGCTGGGGGCACTGCCCTGTGCTGGGAGGCAGTACCCGCACATGCCAGTTGGACACAGAGCAGGGCTGGGGTGAGGATGCACAGGGCCCAGCAGGACCTTGACCCTCATGGCCTGACTTCTAGTCCTGTCTCTGCCAACTTTGGGCATGACAGTCACGCCTGTCCTCTATTGTGACAGTAGTGGAGCTCCCTGCCAACGTTAACGATTGCAGGCTCTTCTCAACTGGGGAGGAATACAAGTTAACAGGATTAGAAGTCTTTCTGTTTGAAGCTGTACTTCTCGTCCCTTCCTTCTGAGCCTCGGTCACTTCTGTTGCTCTGCTGTGTTAGGATCTAGCATGGGTTGGTGTCTGCTGTAGAACAAACCTGGTTGCTTCCTTTCTGGTAAATACATCAAAATGTCTTAGTGACGATGGCTGCCAGCGAGGGCCTGCTTGTTCTGGGTCCTCAAATGCGTGATCTCCTACTTCCTCACTTCGTAACCTGTCTAGGATGTTAGGTATTTTTATTCCCATCTGCGTGTAAGGAAATGAATTATGAATGATAAGAAATAACTCAGCCAGCAGATAAACAGCTGCTAAGTGGTACAGTGGAGATGGACTCAGGAGCTGAGATACGATCTGCGCCAGAGACCCCACGCTTCCCTTGCCCATAGCCTCTCTTCAGAGGCAGTTCCCAGAGACCCCTTCCAGATGCCCTTGCACTTGGGCAGGCCACTCCCTGTGAGGATCAATCACTCAGCCTCTTCTGGCTCTAGTGTACGGGATTCCTTCCTCCTCTCTACCTCGGCCTTCCCTCAGCCTCCAGGGCAGGGCATAGCTCACCTGGCAGCCTGGCAGTGACGCATCTGGTACTCACAGGCCCCCCAAGCCTCGCTGGCACAGTCCTGGTGTTGCTAGGTGTGCTGTTTGACTCTGTTGGTGCTCCCTGGAGTGTTGCCTCCTCCTCTCCTGGTGGAGGGTGGACCGGGCTGGCTGAGCTTCAGGACTTGCCTCCGTGTTTCTGGAGAGCAGAGGTTTTGCAGTCCCTCTGAGCCAGCTGCCACCCAGTGGCGATTCCGTTTGTAATAGTAATCTGTATTTTTATTTTTTAAAGGGTGTATCTATTTATTTGAGAGAGAAAGAGACGCAATGAACCAGCAGAGGTGGAGGGCAGAGGGAGAAGCTGACTCCCTGCTGTGCAGGGAGCCTGACGCAAAGCAAGGCTCGATGCCAGGACCCCGAGATCATGACCCGAGACTAAGGCAGTTGCTTAACTGACTGAGCCTCCCAGGTGCCCTTGTAATAATAATCTTTAAAGCACACTTACTTTAAAGAAGTAATGTGTTTCAACATAGAACATTTGGAAATGCAACGGTAGAAGGTGAGGAGAGCCATTCTATTAGCTCAGCCACCACGCACAACCCACTGGAACAGAACGGCTCAGCTGAGAAGCCTTCTGTCTTCTTAGAAAATGGGATCTTAGTAAATTAGATTCTGTTTTTCATTTGACAGTTTTCATGAACATTTCTTATGTCATTATATGTTCTTCCTCAGTGTTTTTAATGTCAGGATGCTGCTTTTTCTTTTCTTTTCTTCTTTTTAAAGACTTTATATATTTATTCATGAGAGACACAGAGAGAGAGCCAGAGACACAGGCAGAGGGAGAAGCAGGCTCCATGCAGGGAGCCCGACGTGGGACTTGATCCTGGGAGCCTGGGATCATGACCTGAGCTGAAGGCAGATGCTCAACCACTGAGCCACCCAGGCGCCCGTTTGTTTATTTAAAGATTTTTATTTATTTATTTGACAGAGAAAGAGAGCACAAGCAGGGAGAAGAGCAGAGCGAGAGGGGGAAGAGCCTCCCCACTGGGCAGGGAGCCCGACCCGGGGCTCCGTCTCTGGACCCCGGGATCATGACCTGAGCTGAAGGCAGGTGCTTAACTGACTGGGCCACCCAGGGGCCTCACATTTGGGGTTTTTATAAAAGTCTTTTAAATAGTGGTACAGCAAACATATATATTAGGTGTTTATTTAGTTAGGATGAGTTCCCTGATGTCCTAGGCCAAAGAACTCTTTCACAGGATTCCTAGATACTGATCTCAAACATACTATTTTGTGTTTTTTACCACTTTGGGGTACTTTGGTGTATCCTCTCCTAGAGCATTTTGCCTCCCAGTAGCAGGAGTGGTCTCCACTTTTTTAGGAAGACCCAAGAGAGGCTGTCTCCCTTTGCAGATGGTCAGAGTGTGACCTCTGAGCTTCATTCACTTCCACACCTTGAGGCTTTTCTCCGGAAGCTCATCTGGCATAAACGCTCTTCGCCTGGTGTGTTCTTTTCCTTTCGTGTGGTTGCCTCCCCTGCTGTATCCTCTGTGAAGCCTTCCCTGATTGCCCCACGGTATCGTATCACCGATGGCACTCCTGACGTCTGCTCCCGGCGTGCTGCTTGTACGGCCCAGCCCTTGTGACGTAGCCTCTTCCTGACCCAGCCCTGCCGCCAGAGCTGAACCCCTCAGGAGCAGAGCCAGGCCTGGCTCGGATCTCTGGCCCCTGCTGCCCAAGCTGCCGCTCTGGGTCTGCCCCATGAACGAGCGACTCAGAGTGAGGACTGATGTTCCCTCTTGTTTCCCTGTAGGGCATTCTGCTCGAGCATCGAGAGAAGGAATTTGGAGACAAAGTGAACCCAGTGTCTGTTCTGGAAGCTGCTAAGAAGATCCAAACCCAGACTTCGGCCGCAGAGACAAAGTGATTGTGTGAAACCGCCCCGCTCAGGGATAACCAGGGACACTCACCTGTTTCCTGGGACACGTTGTGTCTCCACTCATGTCCCCAGAGAGTTAGAAACCTGCTCATGCCATCGTGTCAGTAGAGATCATTCACGTATTAATACTGTGCTCTCTTTAGGCCCAATGAGGCAAAATTATTGAGAAGAATCTAAGAAACCAGTGAGGGTAGTTTCAGTTAAAACCTGGAAAATAGGAGGCTTAGCCTTGACATGACAGCTGCGCCTCCCTACAACGTACATGGTGTGTGAGTGCCACTATTTGAAATGGCTTTTATTTTCGTGTCTTCAAAAATCTTAGAAGAGGTGATGGACTTGAAGATTCAGGATATGAAGGTCGGGAGCTTGTGTTGTCTACTGACCCGTTCTACAACGTTAAAGTAATATTCTTGCAGAGGATTGGTGGGCTCCTGACGGCTTACTAAAAGTAAATTATAAAGTGAAATCTGTTTTTTTTTTTTTTTAAATCTTCCATTCTAACCTCAGAAGTTTGTGTGTCTAGAAGAAGTGATCATCTCTGGCTCTAATAAAATGTACCATAAACTGCCTGTAATTCAAGTTTTTCTGATAAAACTAACAATAAAAATATTTACCGTTAACAATGGCTGAATTTAAATCACTGGTGCCAAAGACGCTGAGCATGAAAAAGCAGCTTTCTCCATGTGTATGAGGGAGGGGAGGGGTAGCAGCGGGGGATCTCCCGAGCTTGAGCTCTCCTAGGCCTGCAGGTGCCCGGGGAACCTCATCCTGCCCTTCGTGTTGGTGATCTTGCCGTCTCCCTGGGGGAATGACTGCTGTTTAAGGTTGGTAGCAACTTTCCTACTGATAGTCTTTCAGCCCAATGTGAGGTGAATGAGCAGAAGGGACAAAGAGGGTGAAATATAATCTAATTCACTTACGTGTTACGTTTGAAGTTTTGTCCCACGTGTAAGTCTGAGCCGGAAGCGGGGGCTCTGCCCTGGGGACGGGAGGCCAGGGAAGCCGGGAGCAGAGCAGCAGGAGGGGAAGGGAAGCAAGGGTGGGGACAGTGGGAGGTGGGGCTGGAAGGAGAGCAGCAGCAGTGAGCACAGTGCGGAGGCCTGGGTTCTGTGGACTTTGAGACAGGCCCCCTCTGTCTCCGGGCGGGTCGGTGGCTGTGCTCCCGGGGACTCCAGACATTCGGATCGGAATTCGCTGGTGCCTACAAAATGCTTGCAAAACGGTTCTCTTGCAACTAAGGAAGAGTAGAGCCTGCAAGGACATGGCGGGGATGGGGCGTGAGGACAGGCCCACTCCTTCCCCCCCATGTGCTGTGGCTGCTGGGCCCCGCTGGGCCGGGGGCTCCTCTCTCCAGTTAGTGCCGCATCGTGACCCGACATTGTGACCCGGTCCGTTCCGTGGAACCGTGTGCCGGCGGGGCTCCAGCCTCAGCAGAAGGGGCATCGTGATTCCTGCCTACCGCTCATTCGGGGCTGCTCATCGGAGGCTGTGAGGGAGGGGCGCCCAGGGGCTTGGCGGTTTAGCGCCTGCCTTCGGCTCAGGGTGGGACCCCAGGGACCCCAGGATCTAGTCCCACATCAGGCTCCCCGCAGGGACCCTGCTTCTCCCTCGGCCTGGGTCTCTGCCTCTCTCTCTGTGTCTCTCATGAATAAATAAATTAAAAAAAATCTTTAGAAAAAAAAGTCATTGGGGGAATGATGAGCATGACACAATGCTTCTCAGACTTTCCTGTACATGCAAAGGGCCTAAGAATCTTGTTAAGATGGAGACAGTTAAAGAGAAGCTGGACGCTCGTTAAAGGCAGGAAAGACAGATTTATCCAGTGACCACTGCAGGGGGAGACAGGCCTCCATCTGGGACTGAGCTCGGCGGGGCTCTGTGCAGAGGTTACTGGAATTTTAAAGAGGGAGGGGGGCAGGAGACCAGCGATGCCTTGAGCAGAGTCAGAGAAGTGGAAAATTACCGAAAGTGGGTGGTGAGGGCTGGTCAAGGTGACGGGCTGGTCTCTGCTAGCTGGCTAGCTTGCCAGGTTAGGCTTCTGCCCCCTGCCCCCGGAGACCGAGAGGTGCAGTCCTGTGCCTTGATGGTTGTGCTGCAAAGGGATGACTCTCAGGTCTTTGGGACAGACAGACACTCCTGCATTTCAGGAGATGCACAGACATCTCAAAGGGACAGAAAGGATTTGCAAGTATAAAATTTTTTTTTTTTTTTTAAGTAAATAAGAAAAGGGAGGTCAGAGGGCTATGGTCAGGTGTTTGGCTGGAACAAACGGTAAATTCTTTTTGCAGTGTTGAGCTTTCCCAGGCAGGGACTCGAAGGGTGCTGGGTTGTCTCACGGAGACAGTCTTGAGCTGCTAGAAACTATGCTAGTGCTTGTTCAAGTCCCCTGGGGGGGTGGGGTGGGGGTGGGTAGACAAAATCATTTATGCTCAAAGTTTTACAGTTCTCACGCCAGGGCCGGGGCTGGGGTTTCCGCATTTCTAACAAGTTCCTGATGGTCTCAGTGTTCTCTTGGTCCATGGCTCACACTCTGAGAAGCAAGAATCTAAACGCTGCTAGAAATCAAAGACATTAGTATCTGTGGGCTTTGGGCATTGAAGCTTCAGCAGCCTTTGACACGCATTAATTAGCCGGTTCCCTTTTCTTTATTTGAAAAGGAATTGAGCAGCCCGGGGGTGGGGTGAGGAGGTGGGGAGGTGGGAGGGTGGGGTGGGCGTTCAGCGGTTTAGTGCCGCCTTCAGTCCAGGGCCTGATCCTGGAGACTAGGATCGAGTCCCACGTCGGGCTCCGTGCATGGAGCCTGCTTCTCCCTCTGCCCTGGTCTCTGCCTCTCTCTCTCTCTCTCTCTCTCTCTCTCTCTCTCTGTGTGTGTGTCTCTCATGAATCATAGTAAGTAAGTAAGTAAGTAAGTAAGTAAGTAAATAAATAAATAAAATCTTTGAAAAGGAATTGGCAATCCAGAATAAAGCAAACTACCAAAAGAATCCAAGAAAGAGTCCTTGCTGGAAAGCTGATGGTTCTCAATATAGATACACAGTAAGACCACCTGATGCCTGTTTACACCCCCAAGTCCATTACATCAGAATCTGTGGGCAACAGGATTTCTCGAAGCTACAGGAGGATTCCAATATTCCCAGGTTGAGAACCATCCCCAAAGAGCTCAGGGTCAAGTTTGGAAGACCAGCAGTCACAGCTTTAGGAGAACTGACACGGAACCAGGGGGCTCCTGATAATTTCTGATAAGTTTGGAAAATAGTCACTCAGGTGGCAAGGATCAGGGGTGCTTTGGATGTGGATGTATGGGGAGCTGGGCTGGAACTGAATTTTCAAGGTGGAGATTTGGATAAAGAGGTCATTTCAGGCAGGATCAAGTCCCTGAACCAAGGTGTAGCCAAAGGAAAGGTAAACAGTAGGTATGAGGGAACAGGGAGGAGTCTGATCGGTTTTGCTTACCTGATTCAACGTCCTCTTGCCCAATGCACGGATTTCTCAAAAGGAGTGTGCCCTTTCCACATGGGTGACTATTTTAAAATAAAATTATTTTACTGGCAGTGGGGGTGGGGCACCTGGAAAGCAGTACCCGTTTTCCCAGAGCCAGGCATATTTGGGGGTGCTGGAGGGCTGGTGGGCTGGTGGAGAAGGTGAGCTGCAGGGAAGAGGCTGGAGGGGGTTGTGTGTGTGGAGGGTGGATTGGATTCAGAGGGTCCAGACTGAACTCTAGGCTGAACACTGCTCCTCAGCCCTGGCTACCTTTCCTCTCTTCTCAGTGCGTATGTCCCACGGGGCAAGCAGGCAGGGAAGTATTTGTGAGTTTATGTTTGGGGGTGGAGGGGATGGATAAGTTGTCTCGTTCTGGTTTAATCCCTCAAATCCTTTTCTAGGTCTAAAGGAGAAGGGTCTCTTTTGAGGTTGGTTTGTTTTTAAAGCAATTGTCATGAAGGATGATTATGGGAGGGGGTGCCTGGATTTGGCAGGGGAGGTGTGTGGAATCCATTCAAGGACTCTTTCCCTGGTAGACTGGGCCACTCTTCTGTGTTATGTAATGATGGTCCAGGCCAGCCCAACAAACCTGTTGAAAGTAGAAGTCAGGGCAGCCCGGGTGGCTCAGCGGTTTAGCGCTGCCTTCAGCCCAGGGTGTGATCCTGGGGTCTCAGGATCGAGTCCGACATCGGGCTCCCTGCATGGAGCCTGCTTCTCCCTCCACCTGTGTCTCTGCTTCTCTCTCTCTCTCTCTGTGTGTGTCTCTGAATAAATAAATAAAATCTTAAAAAAAAAAGAAAGTAGAAGTTAGTTCTTCCCACAACTTAGTAAGAGTACGGGGGGGTGATGGGATGTCTGTACCTACTGGAGACAGATGATTAGAGGGGGCCTCTTTCATAACATATTTGGGCAGACACTTAGGAGAAGTAAGAAAGTAGGTTTTGTTTACCTCAAAAATAAGTGTTTTTAACCAGCAAAGATGGGTTTATTCAGGAGAATTGCAACTCATGACCTATAAGCTGTGGCAAACCCATAGGTGAGTCCAACAAACAAAAGAGAGGAATGTTATTTTGTGGAGAACAAGGAGGAGGTGGGGAGGGGTTGTTTTGAACTAAAGTCTATCAGAGGAAAGCAAGGTTTCAGGGAGACAATGTTTTCTCATTGGTTGGGTTGCAAGGAGTTGTCAATTTTCTTTTCTTTTCCTTTCTTTTCTTTTCTTTCTTTTCTTTTTCTCTCTTTCTTTCTTTCTTTCTTTTCTTTTTTTTTAAGATTTTATTTCTTTATTCATGAGAGACACAGAGACATAGGCAGAGGGAGAAGCAGGCTCCATGCAGGGAGCCGGATGTGGTACTTGATCCCAGGACCCCAGGATCACGATCTGAGCCAAAGGCAGAGGCTCAACTGCTGAGCCACCCAGGCACCCCAGAGTTGTCAAGTTCCTGTAGGAGCTACAATATATACATTTTCCTGTTGGGGCCTGAAATTGATTTTTTTCCTGTTGTGGATTTTGTTATTGACCATTTTTCCTATAATTGACACTGAGTGCTATGGCTCCCCCTTCTAGCTTGCTGACTCTTCTTTAGTGAGATTTCTTCTTATTAATTTTTACAGCCTTAGGAATATTGGAATAAGAACATTCCAGGTGGAGGAAATAGCAACGATGTACAAAGGCCCAGTGGTGGGGATGGGATTGTTACGTTCAAGGTGTGCGAGAGCAACAGGAGTAAGGGGGGGAAAGTAGGAGATGACAGCCGAAGGTGGGAAGATGGTAGACAGGCATGCCATGTTGCTCTGACAAGTCATGGTGAGAAATTCTGAATTTTACTAAGAGAGATGGGGATCCATTGGAGGGTTCTGAGAAGAGGACTAACGATCTGATTTATATTATCCTGACTGCTTTGAGATAATGATTGTACAGGATCAAAGGTTCCACGAGGGAGACCACTTAGGATACGGTTGCACAAATCCAGGCCGAGATAATGATGGGTGGACCCGGGTAGCAGTAGAGGGGCGAGGAACTGCCAGATGCCAGCTATCTTTAGAGGCGGAGTTAAGAGGATTTCATGAACAACTGGAGGTGGGATGAAAG